GGCTCTGATAAACCATCCGCTTCAACAACTGGTTCCCTGGACCACCAGCTCTCACTGCACAAGATCCCTTCTTCCCTGGGCAGCCCTCCCTTCTCTCTGCCACATCCATGAGGTCTCAGGTTAATAAAGTATTCACAGAGATGGCTTGCACCCAGTAGGTTAGTTTCTAGCTGATAATAACTAGCTCTGCACAGCTGAAATGTGAAGACCAGCTGGGCAATTTTATGGTCCCAAGTAGTGACATGATGAGTGTGGCTCCCATTTCATTATGACCCTAAAGGCTCATCAACAAAATAGTCCTTTCCTGGGCAGCTAGACAATCAGCAGTGACAGAGAACTCCTCTTCATTTTTTATAAGATGAACTTCAGACTTAGAAAGTGTCACACACTAAACTTGAATCTTGTATCGCTCCACAGCCTGGCCTGTATTCCCTCCACTGGAGGACCTGCATTTCCACACCTCTCCTGTTACATGGCCCTGTGGCACACAGCCTCACAGTTAGGGAGGAAAACAGACCTATCGGAGCAGGAATACAGATTTCTTTCGGGGGGGGGGGGGGGAAAAACCGGGCGCAGTTTTCTTTGGGGGGGGGGGGGGAAAAACAGGTAGCTCCTCCCTTCCCCCAGCGCAGTGACAAGTCACACTGGGATCTTAAGGTGGGCAGGGAAACCCTCCAGTCTCAATGGGAAAAGGCAGGGGCTGAGGCTGCCAGCAGATCAAAGCAGTTTACAGAAGTCTAGGTGGCACAGAAATGCTAGAAAGGGATTAATTTCTTTCAAACAAGACTGAGGATTTACCAAATTAGCGGAATTTTTTTTTAAAAAAGTTCATTAAGCAAATAGTAACTCAGGGGAATTCCTTTCCAACTGAAACCAAGGCAAGTTTACATAGATTCTAAAGACAACTATCCAAGCAGGTGGATAAAAGAACTTTAAGCATCACCGCACAGACAACTGTCACCACCCTCAGGGAAGTCCCCAAGATGGCACATTGAGAGAAGATTGAGAGGAATTATCATGTTTGACTGATTTTCTGGGCAACCCATAGATTTGGCACCTTCAGAGACATTTACCTAGATGAGCTCTTGGTTTGAACCAAGCCAATCATTTGTTCTGTCAATCTAGCAGAATACAAGGTCTCCATTTCACTTCCCTCCTTCACTGGCTCACCAAGGAGGACCTAAACCACAAGCAGTTACAGCTCAAGCTGAAAATACAGTAGACATCAGGTACTAGTGTCAACTCAGCAGTGCTCAGAATTTGCAATCCACAGGTTGAACTCTTTAAGGAACAAGTAAGTGTGGAATATAAGTTTATTTGTGCTTCTTCAGTTGCCAGTAGGTCTGAATTAAGGTGATCTCCTTAGTTGTTCTGCTCCTGGAAAGAAGTACAGCTGTCTCTAACTGGACTTCAGCTTACTCTAGAATGTAACCATAAAAAAAAAAAAAAAAAAGGAAGAAACACTTTGATGAATAGCACGTAGCAATAATCTTGTATATTTAACTCCCAGTTACAGCTAAGAAATCACTACATGTAGGCTTTTGTGTTTGTGTGTTTTTTTTCTGTCATGAACAGCCTTTCAAAGACAAGACTTTTGAAGACTTTAAAACTTAAAATATTCATATTCACATGTGGGAAAGCTTAAATGTATTTCCAAGCACTGTAATAAGAGGTTAGAGAAAGCAAATGATCACAATTTACAGAGATACTACAGGTCATGAAACCTATCAAGTGAAAAGTATTATACAGAGACAGTTTGTCAGGTATAGCGACAGAATAAATGCACCAAGTTCAAAGATTTTTCTTCTCTTTATTTAAACACAAATACATTTACAGCATGCAGGTAAGTTAAAACTATATGGCGTCTTCCCCAAACCAATTGTTTTAATGCATCTTAAGTGTACTGAAGTTAAATCATATTCCACAGGTAGACTTGTCCTCATGTCAAATTTAGAGTTACACACAGTAGTGAGTCAGCATTTAAGTTATGTAAATAATTTAGTTGTTCACCAGAAATAAATATTATTTCACCAAGTTCCTAGTCTAAACCATCTTTTAAAAAATATGATCTAGCGGAACATAAAAATAATCACTCAGACTGCCAGTTGAAACAGCAGTGTTGAACATTCCCCACACAGACTGTTTTCATTTACAAAAAACAGTAATTGTCCTGCCTGGCTGACCCATGACAGCCAAACCAGAAAACAAAACAAAAGTTGGTTTGGTTTTTGTTTGTTTGTTTGTTTTTTACATTTTAAGAGGCAGTTCTTGGTAAACTCTGTAAGAAGTTTAAAATAAAAAATACAAAAAAAGGTGATGTACACTGAGCTAAAGGCTAGTTACCTTTTTTAACACAGCAATTTTCAGCACCAAAACCCATGACAATTATCTACAGGAATGAAACCCCCATTCACAGGCATGAGAAAAAAATCCTGCTTCATCTGAATGCATTTTAAATAAATTGGTTTTTGTTTTTGTGATTGCATACTAACAAATGAAGGTCAGAAAACCTGTAGTTAACGCTGTGAAAGATAACGGACAGTGCTGATTCTGTTATGAGAAAATTCATTCAAAATAGACTGCTGTTACTGCAATTCTTTCCTCAGCATGCTGTCTTTAATCATGCTCTAAAACACCTACAAGTTTGGAGTGTTTGGCAGCCTTAATGAAGAAAATAGTCTTAAAAGCTGAAAACTCCAAAACAGTGAGATTTCTGTCTGAAACACTCAACTTTTAAAAAAATCTAACTATTAAAAGTTCAGACTACTGTAGATATAGAAAAAAGTGGTTCAAGTTCTAAAATCTGACTGTTCTCCATCATAATATAAATATTTTGTCTATTTATAATATAAAAGTCGAAAGTGATTTGCTGTTGAACAGTCAGAGTCTCTACTGCTTTCACAATGACTGATGAATAGCCAGCAAAAAACTCAAGCCAGCACACAAAGTGGTACCACCCAGGTGTAGAAAGCTCCCCAAATTCTGTCCGCAATATTAAGGTCCTTTTTTCTCAAAGACCTGGTAACCAATTTCTAACTAAAAGAAGGCTGTTCAAGTTACAGTGGCTAAACCCAATGAATAAGTTAGGAAAATTTTACTATAAAACTTTAAAATCCAGATTAGGCTTGGTGGGAGTATTTGAGCTCAAAACAAAACAACCCCCCCAAAAAACAACCCATGTTTCATTTTGTTAGCCACTTTACAGGACTTTATTGCAAAGAGAAGAAAAATATTCAACAACTACTACTTTGGATATTTCATATACCTACTTACAAATGGATTACAAATACAATTCAGGGTAGCACTTCATTTTCCTTTAACACGTGTGCCTGGGATTTCCAGATACATCAGTTTTAAAAACTCACATCGGTATTAGTGTATCTGAATTCATTGGCCAGGTGCTGAAAAATTTTTTAATTGGAAGTTAAAATTGTAGCAAAAAAAATTCCAGTACTCTGTTTGTAGTGGAATATCAAGTTAATTTTAGATTGTGTTCATTTCACTATTATAAAATAGCAAAACTGAACATCACAGATACAGACAAATGGACAGACAGGCTCATCAGAATGAAGCAGAATGTTTTCACTCCACCAGACTGTACTGTGTGTAATATCGGAAACAGGACAGATGGGATAACCCGCTGCCAAAGTCTTTTTTGTAAACTTAGGTTTGCTCCTATTACTGTACAATAAGTAACTCTAAGCCACCCGTTAAACGGGCAGTTCCTCGGAAGCAGCTCACAGCCACGCTCGCCCCGAGCTCCCGCTGGCGGTGTGGGTCTCCCACGCACAGCCGGGCTCGCCCCCAGGGCAGACTGCAGAGAGCCCTGCTGAGGCAGGGGGACTTTAGTGTTATGCCAGTGACAAAAACAAAAGTATATTTAAACACTGTTGCACATTCCCTAAGACAATAAGATGTACACAAATTAAGCTAGAAAATTTGAACTAAGATTTTCTCAACGTACATTCAGCTTGGCACAGTGCAGACTAAATTTAAGACATGAAAGACAAACTGTGTAATGAGCAGAGCTACACTTTAAGTAACATGTCATTCTTCAAGACGCCAAAATTGCACTCTAGGTTGGTTTTTGTTTTTTTTTTTTTTTTTTGGGGGGGAGAATCAGTTAGAATTTGTAGAAGGGGAAAGAGCTGTACAGGCCAGGTATAATTTATACATTTTGAAAAAATAATCCTACAGTCCCCAAAGGGAGATATTATTGTCATGGAATGACTCCCTCTACACAATATCCAATCCTCCTCACACAGCATTCACTTCTCAGCAACTGTAAATAAGAAAAATAACAGTTAAGTGCTTGCACTTCATAAGCCAAAAAAGCCAAGTTATTTACATTTACAGTAGACTGTACACACGATTTACATAGCTTTTAAAAGGTGATTTCTTAGACCACTCAGATACGGGCTAATAAAGCATCTACTTTACAACAAGAAACTACACAACACAGAGCATTTAAGCAAAGCTGTCTGTTACCAACAAATTTACAGCACCACAAACTGACCGAGTATCCAATCTTGATTGACTTAATGGAGTAAACACTACAAACAACCAGTTATAACCCAGCTCCATTTCCCATGACTGTTGCTACTTTTGCAGGCCAGTGAGAACTGCCCGGACACCACCTACCAGCTGCTGCAAAGCTTTGACTTTGCTATTTTGGGAAGAGGAAATTGTAATGAAGAGATCATTTGGCATTAATCATCCTGAAAATAAGTGATTTGCATTGGGAAATAATTTAACCATCTCTGTATTTACTTAATGTTTCCAGAATAGTTAAATGGTGGTCTCCAAATGTAAAACACTACATCATGTTCCTACTGCACCAGAAGTTCTTATCTAACTAGAAGTTCAGATACTTGGTATCTTATTAATCCTCAAAAACATGTGACAGACATTACTACAGAAAAAAAAAAATTTACACTGGCTACTCATGTATTCAGAAGCTCAGAACAAATTTATATTTAACTAAATAAACTTCACAAAGAGTTTTGTTCCTTTACTTCAGTAAGGGACAAAGTCTTCCAAAAATAAGATAGAAACTTATTATAAGTTACAGTCAATGTCCTGCCTTTAAGTGCTAAACAATAGGTAACATGTTGACATTAAAAGAACTACATGAAAGCTTTACAGCTGCTTAAGGGATTCTATCAGCATGTTACAGAGAGTTTTTTTGGTTTGCTAAAAAGGTGTTCTTCTAGCCAACATCTAGCAATTTTCCACTACTGCTTTGTGAGTTATCTACACATAGTCCAAAAGTCAAAATGCTAAGACTCCTATTGAAATTTTCCAGGACAAACGGTGAAAGCTCTTCTCCAGAGCAAGCCCAAAATTTAGTTATTTATTGTTGATTATATCAACTATCTTAAGTACTCTTAAAGAAGTATGAGACTATAGGGTCTCCTCAGTTGGAATTCTAGGTAACATCAGAGCATGTGCAAACTCATGCTGAAGTAGGCACCTAAAAGATTTTGATCAATCATACTTTGAAATGTCTCTGCATTGTACAGCAGAGCTAGGTGGCCTCCGTAGTCAATCTGGAGCTATCTGGAGATTAATTTCACCATATCAACATGGCCAAGATTCCACAAACTGCCAGCTCCCTCATCAGTCAAGGTAAATGTTATTCAAGGTTATTAAAGTACATATCACATCAACCTCTTAGTAAATAAGAGATTCTACTGAACAGAACCAGGCACCCTAACTAGTACTACAGCCTGATTTTCTCTAAGTTGCAAAGAAAGCTTTTAAAAGTCAGTCAGCTAATAAAAAGAAACAAATGGAAACAAGATTAACATAAGCTGCTCTGAAGCCCTTCAGAAGGGAAGCACCCAGGATTCAAGTACCACACAACCATTTTAGGAGTGTTTTCAAACTGAAGATGCAGATAACCCTAAGGGAACAGCCAGAAGGCATTTATACAAATGCTGAAAAATGAAGATGGCAGACAATGCAGCAAAGCATTATCAGGAGGTGACCAACAGACCAACTGTAATGCAGGCATTAATTACAAAGAGATGTAATTCTGTAAGCAACTTCAGCATGTTAAGTACCAGACTGTGTAATTACTTAGCACATCAGAGGCATTTTCAAGTAAGTGCACATTGATTTCAATTACTTTAACCGTATTTTAAGAGGGCTAACATTTTAAATTTACCACACAAAAACATGAATTTCTCTGCTAAATGCTTCCAAATTACTGATTCGTGAAGCATTGCACAAACATAGTAAGAACAGCAAATAGCTAATGTATGAGAATAGGGTCATTTTGTTTCACCACTGAACGTTTTCTGAAGAAAAACGTATTTTAAAAGATACTAGCAAGGCCAAAAGAATTTAAAGTGCCTACTCCTCTCCCAAACAGCACCTATTAGCTGTAACTGGTGACTATCACCAGCTGACTGTTTTCACATTGTGTTCTACTCCTGCAGAACAATCCCAGAACTACATTTTACAACAAACTAGTTTTATAACAAAAGCAGCAGCCATGTTAGTCAGATGTACACATATACTAATCCTCTGACTACAAAATTCTGTAAAGAAAAGTTAACTTGCGTGATTTTATGCTACAGAATGAACTGTTATAAAACTAATGCAAAGTGGTTTAATCACACATTTTAAAAAATCCCACAAGACTAACTCACACTTTGTCTTGCCGTCCTCCACCTCCACGCAGTGCAACTGGCTGGCTGTTTTGAGTGAACGCACCTCCACCACGAATTGCACTTGGATGAGTTGGAGAAGCTGCTGGATGCTGGCCAGGACGGATAGGTTTAGCTGCATGAATAGAAACATGACTTACAAGTATGCACACCACAATTTTACCTTTGATTATTCAAATTTCCAAATGCTTTATTTTAGAATATCCCAAATGTAATAATCAAAACTGAACACACTTTGAATAAGAAAACAAGTTTAGGAGATCGTATTTTAAGAATCCAACAAATTAGTGTCAACTATAACAAGCCCTGAAAAACAGACAAGGTTTTGCTTTTTTGTCAGAATTCTGTCAGAATTAAACCTAGCACAGCTTCTGATAACGCTAATCACCATATGTTATCTGCCCCACCTAATGTATTTCCAGGTGAATGTCTTTTTTCTTGGCAGTAAGAACTCAAATAAAATGTATCACTAGATAGTTTCACAAGGGTTCTGTTCCTGTAAGGTATCATTATACCCTGCTGTATTTCCCACATCTCCTTGATTGATAAGGCACTGGTTACTCTGCTCTGCAAGTGGTTTTGGATACCAATCACTCCACAGGTAACACTGCTTCAACTTCTTAACACAACGCAAAAATAAAATTTGCTCTGTTACGGCCTTCAAGAACAGCAGTTGCAACACGCCGCATACATTTGATGTGTAAACTGTATTTTCGGTCATTTCTCCATTAGCCCTCACAGTACATGCACAATGGTATGACTTCACAAAGTCCCATAATATTGAATGGAAGCATTTGAAGTTTCAGCAGGTGAAAGGGGGGGTATAAAGTACCCATTGGCAGCAACTGCACCAGAGAATCACTCTTCAATTTCTACCTTATAGGAAGCTGATTTCCAGTAAGACATGATTAGTTCATCTAGACATTTAAGAATAAGAGGTCCTATACCTGTGGCAAACTCACTAGAGAATTCTGTTGTTGTGGAAATCACTTGAGATAGAGATAAGACAGGAAAGTACCTGTCTTCAAGCCATCACTTAAAGCAACCAAGAAAAAAAAAAAAAAAATTTCATTTTGCAACAACTTGTTGCAGACCTACAGAATATGAGCAAAGTTTAACCACAATGCTCTTCTCAGTTGCATTAGCATTTAAGAAAAATATATGGATTACTGAAGTCCTGGCATGGGATTGCAAAAATGCTGGAACACAGTTACTTCAACAATAACATCATGTCCACAGTTAAGTCCTCCACAGGTCACACCCTCCTGGCCCACAGCACTTGACAGCACAAAGGCAGGTGGAGGACCATGGGAAGACAAGCTGACTGCCTTCCCAGCACACCACAAGGAGCACTACTAGTTACCATGGATTTCTGGGTTTTCCATTCCTCTCCCCCAGGGAGGGCTACAGACTACTATGTTTCAGAACAAAGAACCAAAAAGGTAATTGGGGATCTCAGGATATTGATTGTGGGTTTCTGTCTGTCCCTCTCCCCCACAAGATCAAGGGGCAGCAAGCCAACTTTTTTTGTGTTTAAGGTCACAGCTTATTCTCGCTCCTTGCTTTGGAATATCTACTTAGTCTGAGAAATGGAAATGAGAATGGTTTTACAGACTTAGGACTCACATTCAGTGTATAGTTTTGTTCTAGGCAACAGAGCACACATTCAGGCTAGAATTCTAGGTTGGTAAGCCTTTCCCACCACATACAAGAATCCAGCTACCCAGGAAGAGACCCATTTAAAATAAATAATAAAGAATCCCCCCAGTAAGCACCCACCACCACCCACCCTTACAATCTATTAACCAAAATATAACTCATGGTAGAAAATACATCATGTTCGCACATGCAGTTCCAACGAGGGCTGCAATATGCACATGTGCACAAAGGTTAAAAAAAAAGCCAGGAGACAGATAAAGCTTTAGGGGGGCAAGGGCTCTTTACGAACCGATCTGCGCAGAATGTCCTCTTCTGGCCATATTCTTGGATCTCACAGCTTCCTTTATACGATCCACCTCTTGCTGATACCGTTTGCGATCACGAGAAGCATTCTCTTTAGCCTCCTTCAGAGCCGACTCCAAAGCTTTAACTCTCTCAGCTGTAGCTCTGAGTCGCTTCTCCAGTTTAGGAAGTTCACAGCGAAGATCCGCGTTATCACGTACCAGCTACAAAACCAAAATCAATTGTTTTCTTGGTACCTCTCTTCACAGGGAAAGACAAGGAAACACCCTTGTGCTCCTAAACAGGCAAACTGGTGGGGCTTCTAGTAATTCTAATAGTTCATCACTAAGACTGGGCATTTGAAGATCAGTTCTTGTGGAAGAACGTGTTACCCAACATGGCCACTTATAGTCTCCATTCTGCTTCAGAGACAGGCAAGCACCCCCTAGACTAATATACTAACAACAAACACAAATTTAAACTGAAGAAGATCCAAGTCAAACAGCTATTTTGTTGCATACCCACATGTACTTCAAGTAACAATTTTACAGGAAAACTTTAGTCTATTGTTTTATATCAAGAGACACACTCAAGATGCAGAAATATTTCATTACAGAACAGTTACTTTATGACCAACATACAGTCAGTCACTTCTATAATCATGTATCTTAAGTAGTTTGTTTTTAATTACAACTTGAAATTAAGCTTGACTGTACCTGCTTGTGAACCTTTGTAAGCTGTTCAAGATTATTCTCAAGGAAGGAAATCTTCTGTTTCTGTGCAGCACTGCCTCCTGTATCATCCGAGTCAATCTCGGCACTCTGCAGCAACAAAGGAGCAGGGAGGGAGAGAGAAGGCTGAGTACAAATCTGAACGTACATATTAAGATTGAGCTCAAATAATTACATCATATAAAGATCTATTCCTAATTTAGTTCTGAACTGAAATTAATGTAGCATTCTCAGAGACACCAAGTTTCAACAGAGCACCACATTACCTTTTTCACTCTAGTAGCCAGATCTTGAACAAACAGCTTCCGAAGATTGTGAAGAGTCTGAAGTTCTTTTGCCTACAGTTAAGACAAGAAATTTTTTTAAAAAGAACAATTAAACAAAACTCTGAAAAAAAAAAGGCAAGTATTGACATTTGCTTTGGAAAATATCCTATCTTACCACAGTCTCTTCCAAACCCTTTAAATCTTGCCTCGCTTGTTCCCGTCTATCCTGCATAACCCTAAAAAAGAATAAATTAATCCTGAAACATTGCAGCAAAATTGGAAATTTTCATGTTTTAAGAGACTAGAGTGATAAACACTACATGGTCCAAATGGAAAACATCTTTCAGCTGAAGTCCTCAATTAAGGACGTAACCAACAGATGACATCACACTCAAAAATCCAGGGGCTGCGTGTGTGGAAGTAGAGGAGTTGCAGGAGGAAAAATCAGGAAGTACATTTAATAGTGGAGGAATACAAAGAAGTGCATTCAGATGCACAAATTCTAAGTTTCTAGAATAGAAAAAGGAAGACTCTCCAAGTCAGGTTCAGGATGAA